GGGACTTAAAATTCGACCTCTCTAGACTCTCTAAGGCTTTTATTTCCTTTCTTTTCTTATTTTCGGATTTTTTTTTTTTTTTTGGAAAGGAAATGCCTTTTAAAGAGAGAGACACTAGAGGACGAGATTGTACCAAATTTTGAGATTTTTCTAAGGCAAAGTGAGTTTCTCTTGTATTGAATCCTTCCGGGAACTTTTCCGGAAAATCGCAGGTCTCTGTCCTTGGTGACTGAAAACTGCGTCGTTCCTCTTTCTCTCCAACGTTTTTGCACTTATCTGCATATAAGACAATAGAAAACAAGAGTGCATGTGGTTTGAAAGAGGATTGGTTAAGGTGGGGAACTAGCTAAAGATGAACTAGCCATTCAGGATCAACAGAGAGTGGTAAAAGGATAAAGGAGTCCTGAATGTATGATTCGTTTCCCTGGTCTAATGCTTCAATGAGAAAATTAAGTCCAAATTAAGTGCAAATAAAACAGAGCTAGTGTATCCCTTCATCTAAATCGAAATCATTCAAATTCCTATGGGGTACTTCGTTTCAAATGTGCTTAGCTACCGCCTAGTCTAGTCCTAAATCATGAATGAGCATGTCACTAGGAACAGTCTAAAGCACACAGTCAACTATCATTGATTCATGTTCACCATTCCCTTTAAAACGTATTTTGTTTTGAAAACCGATTTTGAAAAACTTTTAAGGAAAATGCAAAAAATGTAGATAATGCAAGACTCATGAAAGAAAATTTGTTAGAAAGGGATGAAATCCTCCCCCAGACTTAAATCACACTGTCCTCAGTATGAAACAAGTCGAGATTGGATGAGAAAAATGCATAAATAATCGAATTGGTAAGGACAAAGAGAATTTACCTGGATCTGGGATGCTGGTGGAGATGAACCGGATTCATTCGAAGGGGTTTGGGAAGGTGATTAGGTGGTGATGAAGGTGGTGGATGGTGATGAATGAGGTGGAGGGTGATTGGTGAGGTGAAAGGGGGTGAAAGGGGTGGTTTGGGTCGGGTTTTGATCTCAACGACCAAGTGCCGCAGTCAGGGGCTGCACGACCGCGGCAATCAAGCACTTGGCCGCGGTCAGGACTACGCGACCGCGGCCGACAGTAGGTTTCCCGCAGTCAGAACACTTGCGACCGCGGGGGCTTATATCGCGACCTCTTCCTGCTTCTCCTTGGATCCTGCTGGGCCGAGCAGTCAGGTATCATCCTTCTTTTTGGTTTTTTCTGGTTTTTTGATTTTTTTGGCTTTTTTGTTTTATAAGAAACACCTGAAACTAAGAAAAAGAAAAAGATCAAAAGAAAAAGAAAGAAAAATTCTAAAGAAAACAATACCTAAATGGGTTGCCTCCCATTAAGCGCTTTTGTTTTAAGTCGTTTAGCTCGACTTTTGGTGTTGGACGTTGCTTAGTCTGATGGAGAAGACCTTGTCCTGAGACAAGTCTTTTTCGACATCTCCTTGCTTTGCTTAGCAGGTTCTTCGTCACTCCAAAGTTCTTCTTCAAACTCTTCAGTTGCAGAACGTTTTCCTGCTTTGCTGTTGTATGGGATAGCTTCTGTGAAGACATCTTTGTCGATATTAGCAAATGAAATCCTCCGGTGTGGGTAGTCCATTATAGCTCCGGAAGTTGCTAGAAAAGACCATCCCAGAATCACTGGATATGTTTGATATGTCTATGTTTTACATCATTTAGATTGCATTATAGAGTCCTCATCATGTGTTTTCTCATGTAAATTGAGTCTTTAGGCGTCAAAATAGGACTTAGGGCTTGCATTAGGTCCCAAAGAGTTTTGCATGTTTTGAAGTCCTTATCAGGAGCCTTGGAGACCAATTGGAGCCTAAGAAGAGGAACAGGAAAGAAAACGGTGAAGAAAAGGGTCAAAAATGGTGAAAACCGCTTGGAGGAATTTCTCGGCCAAATCTCGTACCGGCTGGTCGGAAACCTCGACCAAAATGTTTACCGGATGCTCATTACCGGCCAAAAACCTTACCGATCGGCCAGAATCGAGTATCGAGTGCAAAAATACCACGGGACAAGTTTTTGACCGAGGCAAGGATTTTTTACGACCAAAAAGCTTACCGCGGTACACAGCCCTCGGCCATTTTCCTTACTGCGGGAAGGTTTTTACGACCAAAAGTTGCCCTCGCCCGCGCAATTCAGAAATCAGCAATCCGGGGAACCTTCCGGTCCGAATCAGTTGGCGGGGTCTTCACCAAAGTTGGCGATAATCAAGCAAAGATTCCAGAACAGTTGGAATAATCCAATTCGGACGAGTGGAGAGAAAGATATGGCTTCCGGAGCGTTCACCAGCCTTGCGCGTACCCGAGAACTGAACGGCGAACTTCAAAGATCATGGCGGACGGAGCCTTTCCTGTCAGAACCAGCTTACCCGGTCTTCATCAAAGTTCGAGATCCATGGAAGATCTTCTCAGAGCATTTGGAATCGCTCAATTCGAAGCAAAGGTTTGGAAGATAAGGTCTCCGGAGTTCACATCGGTCTAACAGTCTATTTTCCGGTAATTTCAATGCGGCGCAAAGATGTGAAATCCAGGAAGCCTTCCGCTCCCCAAGCTCCGATGGTTTCTGCACCAAAGTTCGAGCTTATTGAGTCATCTTTACTGTGGAACTGGTCCCAGAGAAATTGGAGTCGTGAGCTGAAAGTTATCGCTTCCGGAAGGTGACATGGTCGATACAAGCCTAAAATGAGTTGCGATACGCGCTAAGTGTCTTCACAAGCCTCGGTATCTTTACCTTGGCATCACTCAAGTCGAGGCTCATATCTTGGAAGTATTTTGGACCAGACCTCGTCCCAAAGCCTTGGCATGATTAGATCGAGGCATGCATACGTAAAAACTGAAGCTGGAAACGACTAAGTGTTGAGAGTACACCTCGGTGTAATGACCTCGGCGTGCATGCCGGACTGTGTTCTCCCAAGCACCTTGACATCATGACCCCTCGACATTTTATCCCGAGGTCCCTTGTCACAAACCCAGAATCAAGAACAGAGTAGCTCAAGAACACACACGTGAGGATGGATCAAAGACTAGGGTTCATGCATGTTCTTGACGTGTTCTTCACGAGATCTTCATCCGGATCCTGACTCACGTGCACACCTCGGCATGAAGACCTCGGCTTCACTTTCCGACACACCGTGGCACTCACCCATCAACCCAAGAGGGCGGTTCAGTACCCGTTTTGTTCCGGGCTGACCCGCGACACTTTCCCTTTGCTATAAATACATTTTGAGACTAAAAACCTAGTTATCTTATCTCTTACCTGTTTTTAGCTTTAAGAACTTGCCTCTTTTGTGAAAACCAGATTAATCTAATCCGATATCTCGTTTTTACGTCTGAATCTTGTTCTTTCTTTACTCTTCTTTTATTATCAGCATTAAACTCCTAATCATGACCAGCTACACGTCTTGCAAAGGACTTAGTGAGCTCGTTATGATCAGTGAGTAGTCGTTTAAGCGACTTTAGATAAGTAGATTAGGGTGCTTTCAAGGTGGATTAATGGGTTTAGGTGTCTAGTCTTGCATGTTTCATTCCTTAACCGACGAGATCTCTAGGCTGGATCCAAGCACATCACTTGAGGTTCAGATCTGAGACATATCTCGCATCAAAAGTGTTTGTAGAAATTTCTGAACCACTCGGTTAAGGGTTTAAGAGTCTTTCATCGCGAGAGTGATAGTTTGTTCTCTTAAATGACATATTTGAACTGAATCTTATTGCTGATTGATTCGTGCTTCTCAAAAGATATTTTGGTATGAAGGAGGATCAGTTTAGATGTTTAATACTTTCATGAGAAGATTAACATGCCTTGAGTTCAAAGCTAAATGAAACCGCTTGATAAAATGATTCATTAGCCCATTAGTTTAGCTTGGAAGCACCCGAGTCGATTATCTTGTCTAAAGTCTCTTCCTTTATTGCATATTATCATCATCTGAATCACTTGTTTGTTGTTTGCATCTTGCTTAGTTTAAATCTCTACTTTTTATTTACTTTTATTGCTTATTTGCCTGATTATCATCGTCACCAAACTTTTACCTTCTTGTCTTGACTTAAGTGAAAAAATGACATAGGCTAGTGTCTCGTTTACAAGCTTGGTTTGACACCCCTTATACTACTTTGACAAGGGGATTGATAACCCTTCTAAGAGCCTAAAAACTCTTAGTTATCAATTGGCGCCGTTGCCAACTTGTAGGAGCATTAGTCTCTTGTTTGTTCTTGAATTCAATCTTTTCTTTCCTTTGTTTTACTAACTTCTTTCCAAGTTCTTGTTTTGTTTTCAGGTGCATGAATACCAGGTCTCGGAGCACAGGATCGCTTTTCCCATACGACGATAACATCGACAGATTAGAAAGGCGAGCTCGCGAGAGAGAACGGCACTTTGACAGACTTGGAATGGCAGAACAACAGAGAATGGAGCAACAAGCTCAGGCAGCCGAGCACCAGGCTCAGGCTAATCAGGCGCAGGCAGGAAGAAATGAACAACAAGCCTATGTTAATCAGCAACAGGCTCAAAGAAACGAACGGCTTGCTCAGCAAAACCAACACCAAGCGAATAGAAATGAACAACAAGCCCATCATGTTCATCCGCCACCGCCCCAAGTTCAGAGACAACATCCTCCAATCTGTGTTGGAGAGAATGACCGAGCTAATGCGCACCAATACCGAGCTGGAATTCAAGCTCCACCAGTTCAAAACAACAACTTTGAAGTTAAAGCTTCCCTGCTCAATATGGTGCAAAACTCAAAGTTCCACGGTCTGGCTGGAGAAGACCCTCTCGAACATCTAGATCAATTTGATCGGGTTTGCGACTTAACCAAGATAAATGGCGTCTCCGAAGATAGCTTCAAGCTACGCTTGTTCCCTTTCAGCCTCGGTGATAAAGCACACCAGTGGGAAAAGAATATACCGAGGGGTTCTATACAAACCTGGGAGCAGTGTAAACTGGCGTTCTTATCAAAGTTCTTTTCCACATCACGCACGGCTAAGCTCAGGAATCAGATCTCAAGTTTCACGCAGCACAATAACGAGAGCTTTAGTGAAGCTTGGGAACGGTTTAGAAGCTACACTAACCAATGTCCACACCACGGCTTCTCAGAGGCATCACTCTTGAGTACTTTATACCGAGGTGCACTCCCCAAGATCAGAAACCAACTCGATACAGCTTCAAATGGAAATTTTCTTGGGAAAGAGATCAATGCGGCAATGGAACTAGTCGAGAACCTAGCCATGTCTAATGACACGTATGGAGAGGACTTTGATAGAGCAAACCGTACAGAGGGATCTAGTGATGAACAGCGCATGAAAAAGGATATAAGAGAGCTTCAGAGTAAGCTTGACAAGGTTTTGATGGCGACTCAAAAGCCAATACACTTTGTAGGCGAGTTTGATGAGCAAGGGCCAAGTTTTGACAATGTTAATGAAGATGGTCTAACACAAGAGGAGCTGAATTACATAGGGAATCAGCAGAGGTATCAGCGGTTTAACAACTACAACAGTAACCCAAACCTCTCATACAGAAACCCGAATGTCGCTAACCCTCAAGACCAAGTGTACCCTGCTCAACAACAACAACAAAGCTATGCTCAAAAGGGTCCTTTTCAGAATACCTTCCAGCCCAAGCAACAGTTCAGTGGGCAACAGCACGGCTACACTCAGCAGAATCAAGCGGCTCAGAGTAACAACTTCAACAACCAACCGCAGCAACACAAGTTTCCACCAGGGTTCCATCCGCAACCGATGGGTAATCAACAACAGATTCAGGGAACGAGTCAGAATCAAATGGGGAACGACGTATGTGGGATACTACAGCAACTGTTACAGGGCCAGCAAAGGGTTGAGAGCCAGCACGCGACAATGCAGCAAGATATCAGAGAGCTTAAGCAGAATCAAGCTTCTACATCATCGAGAGGCCCGGCTTTACCAGGTAAACCGGAGCCGAACCCTAAAGAGTATGTGAACGCCATCACATTGAGGAGTGGTAAGGAATTACAAACTCCAACGCCTAAGACAAAGCTCATTGAGGCCAATGAGCAATTAGAGGGGGAGGCAGCCTCAGACAATGCGTGTAAAGAAGCGGTCTTAGAGAAGGAACTGATCAAGGACAAAGGAAAAGAGGTGGAAAAGACAACCGAGCTTGAAAAGCCCTATGTTCCACCACCACCTTATCAACCCAAGATACCGTTCCCAAGGCGTTTCAAAAAGAAAATCCTAGACAAGGCCAAGGCAGTCTTTGAGAAACACTTGGAGAACACACAACTCACCTTACCCATTATAGATGCTTTCTTAGCTATACCCCAGCTTGGGAAGTTTCTAAAGGACGCGATCCTCAACAAGACAAAGGAGCTCCAGGGTATGGTGATACTGAGCCATGAGTGCAGTGCCATAATACAAAGAAGATCTATACCAAGGAAGCTATCCGATCCGGGCAGCTTCACTCTGCCGTGTGCTTTAGGTCACCTGAAGTTCTCAAACTGTTTATGTGACCTTGGAGCTTCTGTGAGCTTAATGCCTTACACGGTGGCCAAGAGATTGGGATACAAAAGCTACAAGCCAGCCAAGATCTCTCTTGTATTAGCTGATAGATCGGTTATATTACCGGTGGGGTTGCTTGAGGATCTACCTTTGAGGATCGGTGAGATAAAAATCCCCACGGACTTCATAGTTCTTGAGATGGACGAGGAACCATTAGACCCCATCATCTTGGGCCGACCGTTCTTAGCAACCGCAGGAGCCATAATAGATGTGAAAGGAGGAATGATTGAACTACACATCGGTTCCGAGACTTGAAGTTCAACGTGAAGGAAATGATGAAGAAACCGACCATTGGAGTTCAGGTCTTCTATGTGGAAGTAATGGAGGAGCTGGCTGATGAGCTCCTTGAAGAGTTGAACGCAGAGGATCCGTTACAAGTGGTCTTAACGCGGGAACAAAGCGAGCACGGGTACTTGAACGAAGAAAGCGAGGTGTACAAGCGTCTTTTGAACCAACCGAGGGAACTTGGAGCTGAGGCGAGGTTTTTGGAGCTCCACACGAGCAGCCTCGACATCCTAGACAGCGAGGGATCCACGGAAACAGAAGAGACACCTCGGGATATCATGGCCGTGACAACTCATACCGAGGCCGATGGTAAACCGCGCGAGAACGAAGCAAAGGCAGAGGAAGCTGTTCCTGGCCAATGCAACTTTGATGCCGATTGGAATGAGGCAGACGCACCCCCTGTTGAGCTCAAGCCTCTACCAACAGGGCTCAGGTATGCGTTCTTAGGTCTGAACTCTACTTTTCCTGTGATCATAAACGATAGCTTGCTTGAACATGAAGAACGTGCATTGATTAATGAAATAAGGAAATTCAGGAGAGCCATAGGGTATTCCTTGGCTGACATTAGAGGAATCTCTCCTGATATATGCACCCACAGGATCCACCTAGAGGACCAAGCCATGTCCTCTATTGAGCACCAACGTCGACTTAACCCGAACCTCAAGGAGGTGGTTAAGAAGGAGATACTAAAGCTCCTTGAGGCAGGGATAATTTATCCAATCTCTGACTCTCGATGGGTATCTCCTGTACACGTTGTGCCCAAGAAAGGTGGAATCACGGTGGTGAAAAACGATAAGGATGAACTCATAGCCCAAAGAACTATAACCGGCCATCGCATGTGCATTGACTATAGGAAATTGAATTCTGCATCAAGAAAAGATCATTTTCCTTTACCATTCATTGATCAAATGCTTGAACGGTTAGCTAATCATCCTTATTTTTGTTTTCTCGATGGATACTCGGGGTTCTTTCAAATACCTATAGACCCCCGAGATCAAGACAAAACGACATTCACCTGCCCTTATGGCACTTATGCTTATAGAAGAATGCCATTCGGTTTGTGTAATGCACCGGCCACTTTTCAAAGATGTATGATGCACATTTTCTCTGATCTAATTGAAGAGAAAGTTGAGGTGTTTATGGATGACTTCTCCGTATACGGCTCCTCTTTCTCCGAATGTCTTGCTAATCTTTCTCAGGTTCTCAAGCGGTGTGAGGAGCATAGGCTTGTCTTAAACTGAGAAAAGTGTCATTTCATGGTCCAAGAAGGCATTGTCTTGGGACACAAGGTATCAGAGAAAGGCATTGAGGTGGATAAGGCCAAGATCGAGGTGATGGTGAACTTGCAAGCCCCGAATTCTGTGAAAGGAATAAGAAGCTTCCTTGGCCACGCTGGGTTCTATAGACGGTTCATCAAGGATTTCTCCAAGATAGCCAGGCCTTTGACCAGGTTATTGTGCAAAGAAGTGGATTTCAACTTTGATGAAGAATGTGAGGAAGCGTTCAAGAGAATCAAGGAGGCTTTGATCAGTGCATCGATTGTACAAGCCCCTGATTGGTCTTTACCATTTGAAGTGATGACCGATGCATCTGATTATGCTGTAGGAGCTGTCTTGGGACAGAAGAAAGATAAGAAGCTCCATGTGATCTACTATGCCAGCCGCACTTTGGACTCGGCTCAAGAAAAGTATGCCACCACCGAGAAAGAAATGCTTGCCATTGTGTTTGCATTTGACAAATTCAGGAGTTATCTAGTGGGATCAAAGGTCACGGTTTACACAGATCACGCGGCCTTGAGGTACCTGATGTCTAAGAAGGACGCTAAGCTGAGGCTTTTGAGATGGGTCTTATTGCTCCAAGAATTTGACATGGAGATACTTGATAAGAAGGGCATTGAAAACGGAGCCGCAGATCACCTCTCAAGGCTGAGGATTGAAGAACAGGTCCCAATAGATGATGCTTTACCCGAGGAACATCTCATGTTAGTCCGGTCTTACTTAGAGATGGAGGAAGCCAATACGATCAAGGAAAGAAGCCTTCCATGGTTCGCGGATCTTGTGAACTACTTGTCTTGCGGATTAGAGCCACCAGATCTTGATACTTATCAGAGGAAAAAGTTCTTTAGAGATGTGATGAGGTATCATTGGGATGAGCCGTATCTTTACGTGCTTAACAAGGACCATCTCTATAGGCGATGCTTGGCCGAAGAAGAGATCCATCCAGTGCTACAAGAATGCCACGGCTCATCGTATGGTGGTCATTTAGGTACGTTCAAGACAGTTGCCAAGGTTCTACAGAGCGGTTTCTGGTGGCCGACCATGTTCAAAGACGTCCAAGAAGTGGTCTCGAGGTGTGAAGCTTGTCAAAGGCACGAAAACATATCCAAAAGGAATGAAATGCCCCAAAACCCAATCTTTGAAGTGGAGGTCTTCGACTGCTGGGGCATTGATTTCATGGGTCCCTTTGTAAACTCATATGGGAATCAATATATCCTTGTGGCAGTGGATTATGTTAGTAAATGGGTTGAAGCTGTTGCATCTCCGACCAACGATTCAAAAGTGGTGGTAAAACTCTTCAAGAGTATCATCTTCCCACGGTTTGGAGTACCAAGAGTAGTCATCAGTGATGGGGGGAGCCATTTCATCAACAAGACTCTTGAGAGTCTTTTGAAGAAGCACGGAGTAAAGCACAAGGTGGCCACCCCTTATCATCCCCAAACCAGCGGCCAAGTGGAGGTTTCCAACCGTCAGATAAAGGCCATTTTGGAGAGGACCGTGAACTCATCCAGGAAGGATTGGAGCAAGAAACTTGACGATGCTCTGTGGGCTTACAGAACCGCCTACAAGACCCCCATTGGGACTTCACCATTTAACTTGCTCTATGGGAAAAGCTGTCATCTACCGGTTGAGTTGGAATACAAGGCCTTGTGGGCAGTGAAACTTCTGAACTTTGACATCAAGACCGCACAAGAAAAGAGGGTTTTACAGCTTCATGAGCTTGAGGAGATTCGGTTAGATGCTTTCGAGAGCTCTAAGATCTACAAAGAAAGAACCAAGGCGCTCCATGACAAGAAGATACACAAGAGAGAGTTCAAAGAAGGGGACCAAGTTCTGTTGTTTAACTCAAGACTCAAGCTGTTCCCTGGGAAGCTGAGGTCTAGGTGGTCCGGTCCGTTCACGATTCTTGAAGTAAGACCCTATGGAGCCGTGGTTTTGAAAGGAAAAGATGGACAAGGCTTTGTGGTAAACGGCCAGAGGGTAAAGCATTACTTGGC